GGCCTAAGAATAGCCCTCCGTTTCAGGCTGGAAAAACTCTGGGTATGAAAGACCCAGAAATAGGCTGAAACGGAGTAGGGCCTGCAGGCCCTCGTTTTTCAGTTTTCAGGCTGAAACGACCGGGGCCTGTAGATCCTAAGTTTTAGGCTTTTAGGCTGAATGTCCGGGACGGGTCCTACAGGGCCCGTGTGGCTATGCAGTATGCCACATCCAGAGTAGTGTGCGTGTGAACAGTTGCTGTGAATACAGTGTTGGAAGGGTGATGTGAGGGCGCTCAGGTGCCACAGCCACTTTGAAGCGCGTTTGAATCTGAACTGTGTTCTCGGCCTTGATATCTCTGAGCTTTGTGTGGGCGCCTGGCGCCAGTGTGATTTGCCATCTGTTCTCATTCATGCCGAATAAGGAAGAAGACGAGTCTCATTGCAACATGCACCGAAAACCAAAAAATAAAGCACACACCTGACACTCTTTTCTCCTTCTTTGGATGCTGTTCAGAAAAAAAAAACATGGAGGAGACTTTTGCACTGGAAAGCAAAACAAAGGACGAACTTTGTCCTAGGAAAAGACAAAGACCACTGTCAAGCCTCGAGGGAGCCAAAAAGACCTCCTTCAAGCCTTGGGAAAAAAGGACCGCTTTCAGACCTTGGGAAAAAGAAGGAACGGGTCCTTTTCCCCTCTGCCCATCATGCAGCTCCCATACCACCAGACATCAACAATGACCCTGGAATGCTGCCACTCCGACATTCACCAAAAAACCTGGTGCACAACGTCATATTCAGCCAGCTCTTGTCGCCACTCCACTATAGTAAGTCATAGATGATTTCTACTCAGGAACCAATCAATAGAGAGCACAAAGGACTCTCTCTCTCTCTCTCTCTCTCTCTCTCTCTCTCTCTCTCTCTCTCTCTCTCTCTCTCTCTCTCTCTCTCTCTCCCGGTTCCCTCATACTCTATCCTTGCCTCTTCCTCATTCTCTGCCATCTTATCCCCTTCCCGCTCCATTTCCTCTCCTCTCTTCCTTGTGTCTCACCCGTGAGCACACGCCCCCTTGCCTCTTCCTAATTTTCTGCCATCTTCCCCCCTTCTCCCCTTCCCGCTCCATATCCACTCCTCTAGTCCTTGAGTCCCCCTCCCCCCAAATCCCCGCTCCCTCCCTCCCTTCTTTTCCCCAAGCCCATGAAGAGATTGTTCTTATTGTTGAATCACCTGCACACGACCTCCAGGTCAAAAAGAAAACAAAAGAAACATGCACTGTAAGGAAAGAAATATCTGAAGAGCACAATAGCAAAAGCCTCAAGAGAAAGAACAAAACACAATCTCTCACTCACTTTCTCCCTCTGGGACTGTTCTACAGGTGCAGAGCATGTTGGCATATTCACCACCAACATCATTTCTTCTACCAATGGCACCCTGGTACAATTTGGACGTGTCATACATGAATGGAGAAACAAACAACAAAGACAGTTCTTTGGTTACTTCTGAATCTGATGACAGTGACCTTCCTGTCTTCTATGTGTGGCCGCTGACTCCTTCCCGTGCTCTATGTCACAACAAAGAATCCTCTTACTGTTTTCTACTACATGTAACTGCACCGATCTTCTCTGTAAAAGCTATTGAAGCATGTGGAGCACAAGCATATCCCTAATAAGCTGACCTCTATTTTACCCCTAATCTTGAACTATTGTCACACCTGCCCTTCAAATACGGATAGTTGCTGACCTCTAACTACGTGTGCTAGAGGCTTCGCTACCAATAGTTCCTGAACAGCTTCCAGTCCGTGCCGCTGGCCCGGGGGCAACATCCAGGAGGCACGCAGCCACCCTTGCAGGGTCGAACATGGTGGGTACCGTAGGCTAGACAGCTTCCTACCGTCCATGTCCATCCTGAATATCCAGTAGCTACTACTACCCCATAACCGATATAAGCATCTTCAACCCCTATTCCTACTCCCATCATAACTACTCCAACCAACCTACAATACATCGACCTTACTCTAAGCTACCGTCTTCACCCGAATAGAACGCCCGGTCATTATCACTGCATCTGGACTGAAAGTGACACCAGATACAGCTACAATGACCGGCGTTCTATTCGGGTGAACACGGTAGCCATTCCAGTCGGTGGAGATCTATGCTCCAGTCAGGTTTGAAGTGGAGCACCATCTTTTGCCGTCCCCATCTCAACGGAGGCCAGAAGTGCTGAACTCCATATAGGCCTGAAGTGCCGGACTCCATGTAGGCCTGAAGTGCCGAACTCCATATAGGCCTGAAGTGCCGAACTTGAAGGAATGTTCGGCGCAGCCAGGGTGGGATGAACTGCTGACACTTCAGCGGAATGGCCTCAAGACTACCTCAGTACCCTATCGGTCACTACTGGGATGCATCCACATCTCTCATACACCAAAACACCGATCTCTTGACACGCGTGAGGAAGAATGCCTTTTCCAAGTGCCACACGGCAAAAAAAAATGCAACGATGACCTGAGATGAGACAAAAGAAGAAAACCAGATAAGGTGAAAGCAAGATAAACATGCCAGACGGCATGCATCACACAAATCAGGACAGCATGGCCCGAAGTGGACGCAAAGCCAGAACAGTGTCAACTATGGGCGATCATCTGAGGGTAAAAAGCAGAAGAACACAGTGACAAACGCGGACACAAATGCCACACAGCATGTCTGGCCGAGTGGTAATGTCATCGGCTGCGCACAAAAAAGCGCTTCAAGTCCAGACATATACTCAAGTGTAATGGAGAGGACGACACTGATGCAGTGGTATCCATAACTATCATCGGCGTATCCGTTTGCATACTCATGACCACATCCCACAGAGTAACTACTGACAGTCGTTGATACTGTGCTGCTGCTTCGCTCTGCATGTCCCACTCCTGCTCCAAAGCAGGCCTACCAGCGAGCTAGCTGTACATACGTACTAGGCAGCCAGGACCCCATCCCCTCTGACTGATTTCTGTTCAGCAGCCGGCTGTCCTGGTCAGATCTACCTTCGCCCAGGAAACCTCCTTAGAAAATTTCCCTCCCTCCCACTCGAGGTATAGCCGTTACCTTCATTCCAACTACTGGCATTTTTTTACAACTGAAACAATGGGACACTCCGTATCAAGCCAGGGCATCGTGCACAATGAAGACATCATGAATCATCAGAACAATTTCCCAGGGTTCATCTACGTCACTGGTATCACTACCATTAACCCCTACTCTCTCTTGTCTTTTTGGAGCATGATCCTCATGTCTGCCAATACCGAAGTCTGTATGGAATGATTGGTCCATGGGGTGGTCCATACCTGAGTCTCTGTGGAACGATTGATCCCTGAGGTAGCCCATTGTACCTGGGTCTGCAGAACCATAAGTTCCTCTCTCACAATCTTTCACCCTTTCAACCATCTCCTCCCACCTTGACCCCATTTCCCATGAAATGGATTCAGATGGGTTCAAGTTGCCGCGATTCATATCTGCGGAGGTGACTTTGGGGTCTGTTTGCTTGTGCAGATCCTCAACTGCTGGCCAAACCAGCAAACTATCCTGTCTGGATGCAGTCGATTGCGATTCTTCACCCAGACACAGTCTCGACAGAAGCTCCCATGATGCCGACAAACTGTCCCAAAGCCAGTATTTTGCTGAGCAGAGAAGCCATGCTGCCTCCCCAGTGGAGATAAGGCTGAACACCAACTCCGAAAGCGAAGACAGGAAGCGTGATGCAGCGCCTTGACCAGAACTGAAAACTGAGAAGGGACCTTGACTATGACAGGTTGATTCTGCATCCTGTGCTGTGTGCTGGCTCTCCCTTCTTGCAGTTGCCGATCTCTCAAACGCTTTTGGCTTTGCCGGTTCGGTTGTTGGCAGGATGGAACTCATCCATTCAACCTTCTTTCGAAGCTCCATGTTCTCTTTGGATAGAACCATGCATGTTGACTCTGCCTCTGATGTCCGTAAGCCATTTGCAATGGAACAAAAGGCCGCAGTGGTAAGCATGGAGTTTGAACACAGAAGTGAAGGTCACACAGACACATACACGTGTTATGAACTTGGTTGTTTGTCAGCGATTTGCCAACTCTCACACACAGATTCTCCCATGTACACCCATACACACACAGGACAGAGGGAGATCACATTACACAGAAGCAATATGCGCAGCAGAAGAGTTGTCCATGCAACATGATTATCACACTGACAGTGTGATTGCCCCTCAGAGTCTCCTCACAACCAATCACAAAAGAACCACCGAGTAGATCACATCCAGAGATACAATGAACACTGAAATAGCAAATTACCAAATATCAGAGTTTCGTCACATCAGTAATCGTCTCAGATCAGTATGGCACAGAGCAGCGCTATCCTTCCCTCTACTGGGTTAGTCGCCACTACTTCCCAGAGCCCAGAAACATCAATCGCCACTCAGAGTGTGCCACCCAACAAATGAAGAAGAAGACCAGTGCCACAGTGTCTGATGAAGATGGAGCGTCAGGCGACGTTCTAGATGAAGATCAACAGCTGTGCCACCCTTCCTGATGAAGAAGACGACCTCTGAGAACTAGCGCTGCAGCTATGGCTGCAGCCCACCACTTCGAAGCTTCCAGACCTCCTCCAGATAGCCCTGATCTCCTGACAGCCCCAACGTGCTGCAGGAGGATAGAGGAGCCCCAGCTATGGCTACCTCTCCAAGGGTAAGGCTATGGTCGACGTCTCTCACGTGCTCCCACGCGTAGTAGCAGTGAACAGTCTCTCGCCTGCAACAACAACCACGAGAAACGACCCAACTGCCAAAAGCCTCGAACAGTCTTCCACAATCTATTAATAGCTCTACTCTTAACCTAGACCAGACTGACTGGACCGACCGGTACCATTTCAGTTTCGGCCTCTCGGGCCTCTCCCTACCCGGCTATAGGCTATAGGACCGTCTAACGGCGTAGGCCTTAGGGCCCATCCATCCTAGTGGTAGCCCGGGCCTACTATTCACAGTTAGGGTAGCTGTAGGAAATTCGGGTTAGTGCGGGCCTCAAATTTGCCCAAATTTGCAGATATGTCCCTCACGGATTTTCCTCCCAGTCAGATATCTCGGTTAGCCCTCAGCCAAACAAAATTACGAATCTGTCCTACTTATGTTACAGCCTTGAATCGACGGGGCACCGGCAGCAGGATCAGCAAGTCATTGCAGACTTACCTTCCCCCGGAGCGAGGACCTCCGAGCTACGGGTGCAGGCGATGCGAGCGACGAAGGCCTTGACCTTTCTTAGCCGCTTCATACCTGAGGACAACAGATTTCGCAGACCTGAGAAGTTCCCTGCGTGGAAACCAGCGATCCTCAGTGTGAGGCTGGTACAGGAACTTTACCAAGTACTCGATGTCTGGTCCAGTTCCCATCTCATCCTCGATCTTTTCCACCTTATATCCCCGACCAGGGGTTGGTGGTCCGGATTGAGGGGGCCGGTCAGGGAATGCGTCAACTGAGATAAATGGTAACAGCTTAGACGCATGGAAGACCGGATAGGTCTGTAGATGCAGTGGGACGTCTACAACATATGACGGTCCAAACAGGTCGGCCCTTACGACATCTAAAACCTGCCATGGGCCCATATAGCGCGGCAGCAGCTTAGGCGAAAAATCTTCCTCTCTCGACAGCTCAGAACTGAGCACCCACCCCCGTCACCGGTACAAATAGTCGAGGGGCGTTGATGCCTATTAGCCTGCTGAATCATGGCCTTCTAAGCCTTCAACAGGTTGGCACGGGCACGCTCGGTGTCAATACGGTACCTCCTAGTGAACTCTGCAGTTCCAGGTGTCAGGGTAGGAGTCGCCTTATCGATGATATCATCGAGAGGCTGACGTGGTTCACGACCCCAATGTAGTCTGTAGGTTGTGAAACCAGTCGACAAGTGTACAGAGGTGTTGTACACAAGTTGTGCATGACCCAAACGCAGATCCCAGTCCTGTTGATCTGGGCTGATCACAGGATGCAGGAGCTGAAACAAAATCTGGTTCATCACTTCAGCTTGACCATTGGCCTCAGGATGACGACCAGATGTCATATGCAGACGAGAATGAAGGTAACCCCTGCAGTAGGATTGCCATTCATTGATGCAAAATTTGGGATCTCGGTCACTGACTATCGAGGTGGGTGGTCCATGATGTGTAACCCACCTGTCATCGAAAGTCGCCTGTACGGCTGGAACACAGGCCTCAATTGGTAAGGGGATAAACTCCGCGTATTTGGAGAACCGTTCCACGCATACCATAACCTAACGCATACCACGTGGCGTGGTTCTGCCCAAATCTGTGAAAACGATAGATACAGATTGTGCAGGTGCCTCAGGGATGGGAAGTGGATGGAGTAGGCCAAGGGGAGGCTTACGTACGACCTTATTTCTTTGGCATAACTTACAGGTTTCCACGTAGTGCAACATGTTACTCCTCATCTTCTTCCAGAAGAAGCGTTGCGACAGGGCTGCATACGATTTAAGGGCCCCAAAGTGACCACGAGCATCATGACACTCAGACATAAAGAGGGTTCTGAGCTTGCGATCAAAAGGGATGCACATACGTTCCTCACCTCTGTTGTGGGATGCACGGACGTTCCTCACCTCTGTTGTATGTGTACAACAGATCTGAAACCAGGATATAACCAGGTTCAGAGGTAGGATCGGCCTGCCGGTTCCTTACAATGGGTCTGAAAATCGGATCATGTGGCAACAAGCAACGAATGGTCTGACGCATTTTTCACCAAACGAATGAGTAAAGGAGATTAAGAAAAGTGCATCAGGTCTACGTGAGAGGGCATCTGCTACTCGATTATAGTAGCCCTTCTCGTGTTTCAGTTCAAAGTCAAACATGACAATGAACTGAATGAAGCGGGCAAGCTTGTCATTCAACTCTCCCTGGGACTTCATCCACTGTAGGGTGGAGTGATCTGAAAAGATCTTGAAGTGTCTTCCCAACAGGAAGTGCTTCAAATGCTTGAGCACTGACACAATGGCATATAGCTCATTTTCACAAGTAGAATCCTGCAACTTCTTTGATTTGATCTTTTTACTCATGTACTCAATTGGTTGCAGACCATTCCCACTATCATGCTGAAGTACAGCTCCTACACCATAGTTGCTAGCATCAGTAGTTAGCACAAAAGGTAACGTAGGATCTAGAAGCTTCAGAACAGGAGCACGAATCAAGATCTCCTTGAGACATGTGAAAGCCTGCTGACATTCAGATGTCCAAAGAAAGGAAGTGTCTTGCTTTGTAAGGTCAGTCAGAGGTGCAGCAAGAGAAGAAAAGTTCTTAACAAATTTCCTATAAACGATGCAAGCCTCATAAAAGATCGAACATCACAAATGTTCAACGGTTGTGGCCAGTCCCGAACTGCTGCAACTTTCGTTGCCTCAGGAGCTAACCCCTCTCCAGAGATAACATGACCCACGTAAGTCACATAAGTCACTCCAAAGAAGGATTTTTCTCTGTTGATCTTATACTTGTTGTCATGCAGAGCTTGGAGGACAAGAGCCAAATGTGTCGTATGCTCCTAGGCAGTCCGACTGAATACCAGGATATCATCTAGGTATACAACTACAAACTTGTCCAGGTAAGGCCTAAGTATGCGATGCATCTCTGTTTGGAATGTACCAAGGGCATTGCAAAGACCGAATGGCATCGCCGGATACTCACAAGTATCATACCTGGTTTTAAAGGTTGTCTTGTGGACATCACCTTCTGCCATCTCAATCTGGTGATAGCCAGATTTGAGGTCGATCTTACTGAATATTGTGCAGCCCTGTACCATATCCAACAGATCATCGATCCGAGGAAGAGGCTTTGTAGACTTCCTAGTGATCTTGTTGAGCCCTTTATAGTCCACACACATCCTGAACTCGCCATTCCCCTTTGGAACAAAGAGGACAGGGGCACCGAATTCAGAGACATTGGGACGGATTCAGCCTTTGTTGGTGAGGGTCTCCAATTGCTTCCTGAGCTTCTGCAACTCAGCAAGGGACATCCTGTAGACTCGGCCCTTAGGCGGGACTGATCCAGGCAATAGCTCGATCTTATGTTGGGTCTGGTTGTTGACAAGTCCAGTAGGCTCCTCCATAAGATCTGCGAATTGGTCCACCACCTACTGTACCTGAGAAGGACAAGGAGGAAGCTCCACATCCGTCTGTTTGACAAGAGCCACAAACAGACGATCATGGTTAGTCTGGCGTAACAGTTGGAAAAACTTATGTGCACGCATGCAAAAACAGTTGCTGGTCGGGTGGTACTCATCGGCTAGCATGCATGGCCGATATTCCCCTCGTCAATCAGGCAGCTCAACCCTAGGGATACGCCAGTCAACCCTGGGGTTGGTGGCTTCTAGCCACTTCAAAGAGAAGACAAGATCAAAGGGTAAGTTTGGGAACACAGAGAAATTCAGGCATTGCCTGATTTCTCCCTGCTGATCAAAGGTCACAGGCAGACCTTTCACCGTAGTTGTGATCCGGACTGTGGACGAGTCCCGTATGCGGACTTCAATCGGCTGCTGCAATTTCACCAATCTCCCATCCAGATGCAGCCTGCTGACTGTCTTGGGAGAGATGAAGCTGTGAGTTGCTCTACTGTCTAACAACCCTTTGATTCTGCCTCCTAGGATAGAGGGTCGAAGTAGGATGAGATCTGTCCTGTGCTTTTTCTTCTCCTGAAGTCTCAGCAAAAGATCAGCAATAAGATGCAGTTCATCCTCCTCCCACGTCTCATCCAACTTAGAGTCTTCATAGAGGAATGACCCTGAACTTGCAACTCCTACACAAGAACTAGAGCTCAGCGATGGTGCAGCATCTTCCTCATCAGAAGATGACCCACCATGACTCCACCAATCGCTGCTCTAGTTTTTTGCCCCGAGCCTGTGCCTGAGCCCCTACGTGGCATATGGGGACAATCCTTGAGAAAGTGGTCCCCGACATATCTTAGACAAACTCCCTGATCCTTCCTTTTCCTCCATACCCCTTCCTCGATCCTGAGTGCATGCCAGGGAAGGGCGGAAGCATCCAGGGGGTCAGCTGGCCATGAAATGTTTCCTGGTAGGCTTCCCTTGTTTGCAGGGGAGGAGGAACGTTTCCCACCTTGTCCCTTGCTGCTACTGGAAGAGGCTTTTGCAGGTCCTTTGCCTTTGATGAAGGCTGCAAAAGCGTCAGCCAGGGTCTGAACAGCTGGCTCAACAACTGATGGAGAGGCAGTCTTAGCAGGGGGGCTCCCACTCTGAGAAGTTGACTCATCATCTGAACTGGCAGTTGTCGCCAAAGGGCACTCTTCTTCTTCCTGCCCCTGAAGGAGGGTCCCTTCCTTCCTGAAGTTCCTGCGGAAAGGCCCTGGACCCGAAGTCTAGCCTCCTGGTCCAGTGCTGCCCGACCAAAGGATCTCCAATCCTTGTACTCTTTGGTGAACAAGGCCACTCAGTAGTCTGACGGAGGCGCCCTGGTGAAATGAATGAGTTGGTCTTCCTCAGTCATCTCTAGCCCAGGGGTGGAGGTCAGAGTCTCAAATGTGTTGTACAACTTGGACAGAGAGCCTTCCCACTTTCGCTGACCGATTTGCATCAACTTGTCAGCGGCCTTTCTAGCATGTTCCTTGTCCTCGAATCTGTCCTCCAGGGCCCTCAAAAATCCTTCCAATCCCAGGTTGCAGGCCCACTCTACCATTTGCATGTGTTGGCTGAGGGAGGTAGATGTGTCCCATTTCAGTGCAGCCTTCTCCAACCGGCCAAGCACAATGCTGATCTTCACTCGTTCATCACAAACGAACCCACTCAGGTAGGTTCTCTGTGCTGCAGTCCAATCTGTCACAATCACCTTAGGATCCTCACCTGAGTACATGGGTGGAGGTGTCATCTTGGGCTGCTGCACATCGCCTAGTGATGGAACAAAGGGAGATCGGGCATGTGGGGGACTGGAACGTGGGGATGGAGATTTGGGTTGTTGTTGTGGTTTTGGGATGATGACAGGAGTAGGTCTCTTGGGGGAAGGTTCAGGAGAGAGAGAGTCTCGTAAGGATACGATCAATTGGAACCCAGAGCATCAAGCTTGCACTCTATGGCAGACTGATGGATTTCCAAGGACGATATGCGGTCATCCCAGTTGGTAAAATAAGATTTGTTTAGTTTGTCCTGAAGGACAATCATCTCTGCACCAGTCTTATTGTACCCACTGGTGGTACCACTCTCCTGAATCTTTCCCAGTTCCTCCAGGAGCTCCTTTCTCCTGGTTTCATCTGCAGCTGCCTGCTCGTTCAGCTCCTTCTCTTCCTGTAACTTTTTCAGCACAACAGCCTTAGCCTCAAACTGTTTCTGAGCTTGCTGCAGCGCCTGATCCAGTTTTGAGAGAGGGGGTTGTGACGATTCCCCTTTCTCAGGCATGATGCCTAAGGTTAGTACCCAACAACAACAGACAAATGGAAAAAGTCAGAAGTGGAGGTCAACAACAACTAAGCTTCCCTTCAGGAGTGTCCTAGTCGTCTATCACCTGACTGAAAGTGGAATTGTGGTCAGATGAGTAAGCGAATATTTAGTCTCAGCAGACTGCTTGAGGGTCAGACTCGGTTTAGGGCAAACCCATCAAAAATCATTTCACGATTTTTCATTCATTGTCCTGACTCCACAATCAGATGCAATTCTCCAAACTCTGCTTTAGATAACTGACAGAGTGCAATCTAGGACTAATTAGTAGAGATTAGTGATAAGACAGAGTGATATTTGCCCAGAAACAAAGAGAATAGGGTACCCAAGGGATTACGATATACTGTAAATCTATTTTTAGACTACCCTAAACTCCTTCCACACTGTTTCACCTTGGAAGTCATGCCCTAGGTATGGCGATTCCACAATTTTCACTGTACTGCACCCAAAACTTCAAAACTGAACTTGCGATTTCACACAGATACAGAAGACTGAATTGCGATTTCAAGGAACCAATCAGATTCGAATTCTGACGGACATAAGGGGAGATATGACTAACCCTAGTCTATCCTATCTCTAGATATGGATGCCCAAAATTTGCAATTTGACTTTCACTGACAATTCGACAGAGAATTCAACCAATTACTGTATGGGATGGATCACAATACTGTATAGCAATCAAAGATGAAGTTTGAGTCAGAAGAGGGGTCAAACATAGTTAGTAGAAACAGAAGAAGATAGGTAGGAGAAACTAGCTATGGCTGTTAGGTAGTAGAATTTTCAAAATTCAACAGTAAACTGATAGACAGACTAGATTTCGACTTTCTAAAAATAGATACAGAATCGCCTCACTGAGTAGATGATGGAACACACTTACTTCATTTCATCTCTACAAAGGAAGATGGAGAACCGGCTATGGCCGACATCTCTCAGCCTGATCTCGACACTTTCTTCAACTGACAGTCTCTAGTGTTCCCACGTACAGAATCTTCCCAAACTTGGTTATCCTGCTCTTCACATTGTAACGCTTCACCTCCACTTGCCAGATTCATACAGAATCTTCTCAAACTTGGTTATCCTGCTCTTCACACTGTAGCGCTTCACCTCCACTTGCCAGATTCACTGAATTTGGGCGTCTGGGGGTTGGGAAATGAAACCCCAGTACTGCGCTGTCAAAACCTGCTCAGCCCTGGAGGGTAATTGGCCTGTTTCTGTCAATTCTTCTCGCCACACCCTCAAAAATGGACTGAATGCCCAATTGCCTGAAGAGGATGAATCGCCACGCTATTTTTAGCCCCTTAAGAGTCTTCCAGACCTCTGGAGGACTAACCAGTGTCAAACCCTGTGTATACACCACCTACACATACTCGCCACCATCAGGTCCATCACCCTACTGTCGCCACCCTGAAGATGGCAATTCGCCTTGAAATTCGCCTCCAAAGATCTTCCAAGTGATAATGGTTACTCCCACTCATCTCAATATCACTGCTCAGATCCATTTGCTCTGATATCAACTGTTATGAATTTGGTTGTTTGTCAATGATTTGCCAACTCTCACACACAGATTCTCCCATGTACGGCCATACACACACAGGAGAGAGGGGAGAGGAAGAGGGAGATCACATCACACAGAAGCAATTTGTGCAGCAAAAGACTTGTCCATGCAACATGATTATCACACTGACATTGTGATTGCCTCTTAGAGTCTCCTCTGGAGGACTAACCAGTGTCAAACCCTGTGTATATACCACCTACACATACTCGCCACCATCAGGTCCATCACCCTACTGTCACCACCCTGAGATGGCAATTCGCCTTGAAATTCGCCTTCAGAGATCTTCCAAGTGATAATGGTTACTCCCACTCATCTCAATATCACTGCTCAGATCCAATTGCTCTGATAGCAACTGTTATGAACTTGGTTGTTTGTCAACGATTTTCCAACTCTCACGCACAGATTCTCCCATGTACGGCCATACACACACAGGAGAGAGGGGAGAGGAAGAGGGAGATCACATCACACAGAAGCAATATGTGCAGCAGAAGACTTGTCCATGCAGCATGATTATCACACTGACATTGTGATTGCCTCTTAGAGTCTCCTCACAACCAATCACAAAAGAACCACCGAGTAGATAACATCCAGAGATACAATGAACACTGAAACATCAAATTACCAAATATCAGACTTTCGTCACATCAGTAATCGTCTCAAATCCGTATGGTGCTGCTCTGCAGGAGCAGCGCTTCCCTTCCCTCTACTGGGTTAGTCGCCACTACTTCCCAGAGCCCAAAAACATCAATCGCCACTCAAAGCTACCTCCTAAGGAACAACGCCACCCAACAAATGAAGAAGAAGACCAGCGCCGCAATGTCTGATGAAGATGGAGCGTCAGGCGACCTTCTAGATGAAGATCAACAGCTGCGCCACCGTTCCTGATGAAGAAGACGACCTTTGGGAACTAGCGCTGCAGCTATGGCTACAACCCACCATTTCGAAGCTTCCAGCAGACCTCCTCCAGATAGCCCTGATCTCCTGACAGCCCCAACGTGCCGCAGGAGGATAAGGAGCCCCAGCTATGGGTACCTCTCCAAGGGCCAGGCTATGGTCGACGTCTCTCACGTGCTCCCACTCGTAGTAGCAGTAAACAGTCTCTCGCCTGCAACGATCGACCGGTACCATTTCAGTTTCGGCCTCTCAGCCTCTCCCTACCCGGCTATAGGCTATAGGACCGTCTAACGGCGTAGGCCTTAGGGCCCGTCCGTCCTAGTGGTAGCCCGGGCCTGCTATTCGCAGTTAGGGTAGCTGTAGGCAATTCGGGTTAGTGCGGGCCTCAAATTTTCCCAAATTTGCAGATATGTCCCTCACGAATTTTCCTACTTATGTAAGTTATGTTACAGCCTCAAGTCGACGGGGCACCGGCAGTAGGATCAGCAAGTCATTGCACATGCACATAGAGTGCTCGGTTTCAGAAGACAATTGAGGAATGCTTCTTCTTTTTGGACCATTTCTCGATTTATGCGTGTCATCCTTGAGCAGGGGCCACGCTCATCATCTCTGTATCGTTCCTATTTTAACGAATGTTCCTTGTTTTCCAATTCTTTTTTCGTCTGTCCAGTTGTCAAGCTGAGGAAGATTCTCAAAATGGGTGCCATCACTGCCATCACCATTCTCTCCACCTCCCCGTCCCCCCCCCCCCCCCCCCCCCCCCCCCCCCCCCCCCCCCCCCCCCCCCCCCCCTGTCCTTTTGGTAATCCTGAATCAAATCTGAACACTTGCATACAGTTCTTCCCCCCATTTTTTGTAACCTCGAATTGCATACAATTCTCGAGTCCCATCTTCCTCTTCTTGGATTAACACAAAGTATCATCAATTTCCAAGCAATTATTGACCTCTGAATCTCTTTGATAATAAGCCATATCAGCAAGCACTACAGCCTTTCCCCGAATCGAACGTACGGTCATTATTGCTGCATCCGGACTGAAAGTAGCCCCAAACACATGCACAATCACTGTATGTTCTATTCGGGGGAAGAAGACAGTAGCTCTCTATGTTCCGAGAAGCAACACAATAGTCATTCGCCAGTTGCGAGGAAGGAACTCCTTGATGCCCTCGTTCCAGCATATGGTCACTGTCCTGAGGAGATGATTTAAGGACGACGGTTTTGAGATATCATCATGGAACTGACCGAGCCCAGGTAATTCAAAATTATTTTATTCTGGTCATCTGGTTGTGTCTGGATTCGAACTTGAGTCTGTATTTCAACAATTCGTGGGTATACCAACTGAGCTATGCCCGTCGGTTGCGGAGGTGATTTAGATGGCTCTGAGGGGTTGAAGTTAGTGCTTGCGGGCAGAGAGTGCTTGCACCTGCAATTGACAACGATGCATAATTGTTTGTTTGATAAGGACTGGAAGGAGATGTTTTTTGAGCCGCAAGATCTGAAATCATAAGGCCATTATTGATCGGATAAAGGAACCGAGGAAACATAGAAGCACCCGACTTTTGATGGACAATATATAATGGACAGTATGATAGTATATATAGTCTGCATTGGTTGTTTTCCCATGTACCTAGATAGTCCTTTTTGTTAAAATTGAAACGATACAGAGAAGGGAAAATTAGGATGGATGCCCCCTGCGGAAGCAAGGATGACTGTTGCATACTGTAACGTGCAGACCAGAACAAGAACCGACCACTTCAATACAAAGTACAAGATAATGCGGAAGACTTAGATACGAATGATCCGAACAATCAATATTGAATTGCAGCCCTGAACACACATCATCATCATCGTTATCCGGCGTGAAGGGGGTCTGGCGCTTCACACAAGAAGACTGCGCCAGCCCCAACCATACACAGACGAAGAAGGAGGGGTTAGACGAAAGAGGAGGGGAATATGGGAATGTCGTCAACACCAAGTCTCGGTACAGGCCCAAATAGTCCCTCGTCGAAATGTCTGAATCCCAATGCCCAGTCTGGATCCAATGTCGTCAAGTCTCAAGTCACAACTCTTTCTCTCTCTGTCGTAGTCTGAGACAATGTCGTCAAGTCTCAAGTCACAACTCTTTCTCTCTCTGTCGTAGTCTGAGAAGTCAGGTGGCGAGAGGGTGAGAAGAGATGGTGGACTTAGAAGAGGAAGAAGAAGAACTCTCTCTCTCTCTCTATGTCCAGTACTAACCTGTGAAGTTGGCGCCTTGATGCAGGTACCACGAAGATGGAGCTGGAGCGATGGCGCCACAGGTAAGAACCACTGGCCTCCGCCAGTATCTCTCCCACTCTACGATCTACCACCTACCAGCGCCCAGCGCTGAAGACTACAACTACAGCTATGGCGCCCAGCGCCGAAGACTACAGCTAGCGCTAACACTACTACCTAGCGCTGAAGACTACTGCAGCGCTCCTCCTGAGTGCTGCGGCCGAAATCCTGAAGACTACCCGTGCCTACTGACAACTACCTACCCGTGAAGTGCATGGGAACCTCCTATGTACTACCGGGTGTGCCTCCTGAGCCGTGCGAGCAGTTCAGGAGGCTGCTCTTGCCAATGCCGAAAGGAGGCAGGGGCTGCAGCTGCAGCTCCTGCTCGAGCTCGTGAGGAACAGGCTATTTCTGGCCTGTTCCGCATCCCTGTTTACATGCCTGAGTCTTAGGGGCAGGTCGAAACAGGGCCTGAAAATGGCCCTCCGTTTCAGGCTGGAAAAACTCTGGGTCTGAAAGACCCAGAAATAGGCTGAAACGGAGTAGGGCCTGCAGGCCCTCGTTTTTCAGCTTTCAGGCTGAAACGACCGGGGCCTGTAAGCCCTAAGTTTTAGGCTTTTAGGCTGAATGTCCGGGACGGGCCCTGCAGGGCCNCTCGTTTTTCAGCTTTCAGGCTGAAACGACCGGGGCCTGTAAGCCCTAAGTTTTAGGCTTTTAGGCTGAATGTCCGGGACGGGCCCTGCAGGGCCCGTGTGGCTATGCAGTATGCCACACCCCCCCCTCCTTGAAGAACCGAGCTTACCTGCGAGGGCGAAGCTGTCTGTCTGAGGGAGGGACCACAGTCCGGGTGGGAGGGACTGGTCGTGAAGCTTCCTGAGCTAACCTCCGCTTTTCATAATGCGCGTAGATCAGCGGTGCGGATGCTTTCAAATCTGCGCCTGAAATCCACCGAGTGTCGTCGCGATCGCATGCTTTGAATGTGACTTTGTACTGCCRCGGCTTGCTGCCGTACTTGCGATCGGAGATGRYGCGGTCAACTTCTTGATGACCATCCATAGAGGGAGGGTCCTGCGATCGTCGGCCCGGAAAGTCGTCGCTCTTGGCTGGCGTGTATGTTGCCAGCTTYGAGGCGTGGAAGACCGGATGGACCGTCAGATGCTCTAGAATGTTGATCACAAATGAAGGGCCATCGGGCTCATCGCCCGCGGCTGCTGTCACCGACCAAGGTCCAAACCACTTGGGAAGCAGTTTGCCTGAAATATCCTGTTCCAGTGCAAACTCTTCCCTGGAGACCCAAACCAGATCACCAGCGCGGATGGGACATGGTACGCGACGCGTGTTGGCTTGCTGTTGCATGCGGACTTGAGCCTTTTGCATATTTGCGCGGGCTTGAGTCAGCAATTCCCTGTACTTCCGGACCGAAGCGGGAGAGCAGGCAGCGTCAATGGCAGTTGGTCGATGGAGGAGAAGGTCGGCGAAGATACGTCCTTTCCGTCCACCGTGGTGCAACTCGAATGGRGTCACGCCGATCGCCGGGTGCACCGAAGTGTTGTAGGCGAACTCGATGTCGGGGAGGCGGTCAACCCAATCTTTCTGGTCCGGACGGATGAGCGTACGAAGCATCATTTGAGCGGTTTGATGTGCCCGCTCCGTCTGCCCGTCTGTCTGAGGATGCCGAGCCGAACTTGGTTTCATTGTTGTGTTGGACTCCTGCATGAGAGCAGTCCAAAATGCAGACATGAAACGAGTGTCACGGTCACTGACGATTCTTCTGGTACACCGTGGCCACAAATCCAACCAGTGTGCAGGAGGCGTGCCAGCTCRGGAGCCGTGGAGTAGTACTTGCAAGGGAGAAAACACGCGTACTTACTCAATCGGTCCACAACCGGGAGGATGCCGTCGTGCCCGAGCCGGTCGCGAGGAAACGGACTGGTGACATCCATGGCAATGGAGAGACCGGGTTCCCGTGGGATAGGCATCGGGTGTAACTCGCCGTAGGGATTGCGGTTGCGGGGTTTGCTGCATTGGCAAACTTCGCACGAGTCGCAATACCAAGTGACATCAGTAATGAGGTCGGGCCATCGGAATCGTTGTCGAAGACGTGCAATAGTGCGGTTGACTCCGAAATGGCCGGCAAGTCGTGAATCATGATACTCGCCGAGGAGGCGAGTCCGAAGAGACGGTCGCGTGGGACACACAATAAGTCCTTGCCTCTCAAGTGGAGGAGCAAGTATCCGTCAGCAATGCGATAGTGGCTGGCCGGCGGGTGATCCGAAGATAGTTGTGCGTACAACGTGACGAAGTCTGGATAAGACTCATATGCCCGGATGAAGTGTCGCTGAAACTCCTCGTCGAATGCGAAGGCATGATGTGTCATGGCGCAAAGATCTGGTCTTCGCGAGAGTGCATCTGCTGCGCGATTTGAGAGGCCGGGTAGATGTTTCGGTGTGAAGTCAAACTGGTCGATGAAGTACATCCATCGTCTGATCGTGCTGCTCACCGTATCCTGTGTCTTGTAGTAGGTCAATGGATTGTTGTCCGTAACCCATGTGAACCTACGACGCCCAAGGAGGAAGTGCCGCCATCGCTTGAGAGCCATGACGAACGCGAGTAGCTCCTTCTTCCTTGCATCATCAAGCGAGTTGATGGGAGGCACTTTGTGGCTGAAATACTCCACAGGGTGCCAGTCGTCGCCGTCGTGCTGTTCCAAGACTGCCCCAATGCCATAGCCGGAAGCGTCCGTAATCACTCTCGTCGGCAAGGTGGGCTGAGGACGGGTGCCATGAGCATGGCCGTCTTAAGTGCTTGGAATGACCGGCGTGCGTCGTCATCGAATACAAATGGCACCTTTGGCGACTGTAACCTCGTCATAGGTGCAGCAATCCTTGAGTATCCGGTGACGACTGTAACCTCGTCATAGGTGCAGCAATCCTTGAGTATCCGGTGATGAATCGCTGATAGTAGCCCGCCAATCCCATGAATGAACGAACGTCCGTGGTGTTGGTGGGCTCGGGCCATACTCGTAGGGCCTCGATCTTGTCCGCGAGCGGACGGATGCCTTGCGGCATCACATAATGGCCCAAGTACTCCAGCTCCTGCCGTGCGAACTCGCACTTGTCGCAGTTTGCTTTGTACTTGGCCTGTTGTAGCCGCTCCAAAACGGTGCGCACGTGTTCCACATGCTCCTCCAAACTCCGACTGTACACCAGGATGTCGTCGAGATAGATAAGTACGAATCGATCCAGCATGTGTCGGAACTCCGTTGTCATAGCCGCTTGGAAAGTGGCCAGGGCATTCGTAAGGCCAAATGGCATGACCAGCCATTCGAAATGCCCATATCGCGTCTTAAACGCGGTCTTGTAACGGTCCTCCTTGCGAATCTCGAGTTGGTGATATCCCGACTTGAGGTCCAGCTTGGAGAAAAACTTGGCGCCGCCCAGTCGCTCGAGAAGGTCGTCGATGCGTGGGAGAGGGTCGGCGTTCCTGATTGTCTGCGCGTTGAGCTTGCGATAATCGACGCACAACCGCAGGTCCTTGTTCTTCTTCCGGACGAAGAGAACAGGAGCACCATATGGCGATGAGCTAGGCCGAATCCAGCCTTTCTCCAGAAGGTCGTCGAGTTGTGCCCGAAGCACACTTAACTCTTCCTCGCTCATTCGGTAGATGCAACCGCGCGGAGGTACGGGCCCGTCCTCGAGGATGATCTCGTGGCGGATGGGTCGATCCGGTACTACTCCGTGCGGGCCTTCGAACACGTCGCTGTAGGCATCGAGAAGTTCGGTGATGCGTGGATCCGAAGGTGAGTCAGTCGATGAAGCGTCATGGGGCGGGAGTGCGTGGAGAAAACACACCCCCATCTCCTCGATGTCGTCTCTGATGATGGAAGCTCGCATGCTTGCGGCGGATACCACGTGGCAGCTGATCGAAGGATGAGGAAGAGGCACCGTGCATGGAACTAATACTCCGTTYCGGTCACGAACGTGAACGGTGCGGTTGAMGAAGTTCACCGGGTGATCCTTGCTTCGCAGCCATGACATGCCCAAGATCATGTCAAATTTGGTGTCCAGAATGTGAAAGGACACCGCCTCACTTGCGTGAGGGGCAAAGTACACTGGGACGCTGTCAATGCACCGGTCGATTGACTTGTGCGTGTGACCGTCCGCCAATGTGACTTGTGTAGGCTGCGGCTTCCTCCGGACGTGTGGGCCAAGGCCGGTGCGCACCATGAAGTCCTGGTTGATGTAGTTGCGAGATGCTCCGCAATCGATCAAAGCGTTGCAGGTCACTTCCCCGATCTGAATGCGTACATATAGCAATGGTGCGTCGATGTCGTCGTACCGTTGCGTCTTGAACTCGCGGTCGATCTTCGCAATGTAGACGTGAAGTTCGACAAACTCTACTCCGGCGTCCATCAACGGAGTCGGTACTGCAGTGTGCAAGTAATCTCGCAGTTGTGCCATGAGCACATTGCAATGCGTTTTCGGCAATCGTCCGGTCGGGGGAACGGGCATCCACTGGAAGTCCGTGAACGTCGATGGGTCGAGCACCTCAAGTCTTGACCACGACGATGAATCCCCGACGATAGATGGCGGCGAAGCTGCCGAATCGGTTGCCGATGGTGATGAAACCGTGCATGCGGTAGATTGTTGCACGTGGAGCGGTTGGTCCAGCGGTGGAACCAAGTGGACAGCATAGTCCTCGTAAGTGTAAAGAGAACTTGCGACTTTCGCGTTCTCCCCAGATGTGCAGGAGGCCGCTAGCAAGGCGGCCAAATCTGGCGGAGTAGGTGGAGTCGCCTCACCTTCCACGGAGCTCAGTTTCCCGAGCTGAGGCGGGGTCGCACATCCTCCTTGCCCTGATCCTGGCACAGGGAGGTCTTGTGCTTGGTGTTGTTGCACCAGTAGCAGCTGCCGTAGCGGCCGCGGACCTTGTACTCCGCCTCGGTCAAGCCGAACTTGACCCATGGAACTTGTACTGGCTGTCCATTTCCGGCCTGCGATGCGGATTTCGCCTTCCCATTGTTGCG